GACTCATATGTGTGAGCATTGTTTATTACTGATATAAATGCTTTAGCAAAAAATATTTCTATTCAAAAAAGAAAACAAAGAGGGGGGGAAATGCTACATGCAAATAATTAAAACATAGTCATGCATATTTGACCTATGATGGCAGATTAAATATGCATATTAATTTTTAAAAGGGAGAAAAAGTGCTTTTCATATTATTTGTAGTTCCAAAATATTAATACATAGTACAACTTTAGTTCCAAAATACAGATGCCATTTTCTAGTATTTTTTTCTCTCAAGAGAACGAGTTGATATGCACCATTGTTTTGGCTTCCTAATCTGTCTCGTGTTCATCAAGCAGTTTTAATTCATGCCATTAGTGGCCTGACTATACTGAATCAGAGTATCACACAGATTAAATCGAACCCATCCGGAGTTTCACCCAGCTACTCTACAGGATTTAAAACTGATCTAAGAGATGGGAAATAGCAACATGCTACCAACACAGGCTCATTCCTGACCTCCCATCTGTCATTTTTTTTGGGGGGGTAAAAGTCAGTTCTTTGAAATTTCAATGAGATGAATGTGATATCTCTTGTTTTTTTTTGGCTTAACCTTAATCCCTGCAGACACACAATTTGTCCTGGACAGGAGAGAAAATGAACACAGACCAGCCGTGTCCAGCCTCATGACCAAAGATAAACACAATTCAGAACCATTTGTTTCCACATGCTGTTCCACACATTTACTCTTAATCTTGGGTTGTGCAGTGAGATGGAAAATTGTGTTTTGAGTAGAAGTCCAAAAAGTGTCTCCCCCACCCCCCAAGTACTGTATGTAAATTGTTTAACTAAACTATTCATTTAAAAACCATTGGGTCACAGATGTTAAAGGGAAAAATAAAAATGCAAAATGAAAATAAAGCCAGATTTAGGATCGCAAAATAAATGTTTTCTCATTTTTAAAGGTAAGGAAAAAGCTCATCATAGTTTTAATATATTGTGGTGTTTATTTTAAGGATTTTTTTATTTATCTTTTCATATTATTTAATTTTTTTGTCAATTTTATGTACAATGATTAATTTTGGTGCTGTGCAAATGTAGAATCAGTGTCCTGAAGCAATGCCAGAGAACTGCTGATTTAGACAATAGGGACATGTAATATTGGTATTAAACAGCTTGCTTAAAAAAAAAAAACATGGCTGACTGGGGTCTTTCTCGGGCCAAGGTTTATCTT